TGCCTTCGGCGCGGTGCAAGGTCGGAGAAAGGGCCGATCCGTCTACGGTATGTTCTTGTTCTAGAGTAGGTCCCACATGGTCTTTTAATCAAGAACGCGCCCCCGACGGATGGCATCATTTGTGGGTTCAGGGTTTCCAGGACTCGCCAGATGTTAGTCTTGGGGACTCTCCTGGGGCCTACGAACGGATATGTTCGACTCTGGTTCGATTCTAGCTCGACGAAAGTTCGACTCAAGTCGACGAACGTTCAACGCAGCATCGACGCATGAGTGGACCGAGTGGCTCCAGTAATCAGGCATTTGCGAGGTTTCCTGGCATGCCTGTAGGCCCACCAAGGAATGTTATGATGAGTGAATGTGGTTCGCACGAAATGTTCTTATAACGTTTCTGGCTGAGACCGTCTTGATTCAATCAGGTTGTCTTATGTTCTAAGAACATGTTTCTGTTCTGGAACACTCTTGGCCTCTGAAGAGCACCACGTGGTATGCCTACAGGAATGCCGGGACGGTCGGCCCCTGCTCAAAGGAAGGTCCCTGGACCGAGATTCTACCCCCCTTCGCTCCGCGAGGGGGAAGGAGGGAGGAGTGTGGGTGGGGGAGGAACCTGGCCCCCTGGCACCGTTCAGGGGCGGCGTCAGGGAAGACAAGGATGGGGCGGACGTCCTGTTCGCCGCCGCTCTGCTCGCCCCGTCCCTGTTCGCCTCGGCCCTGCTCGCCGCCGCCGCCCTCTTCGCCCGAGACCCTGCTCGCCGCCTCCCTGTTCGCCGCCGTCGTTGTCCTCGTTCTCGTCGTCGTCGCCGTCGCTGCCTCCGTCTCGTCGTCGTCTCGTCGTCGCCGTTGTCGTCGTCGTCGTCGTCGTCGTCGTCGTCGTCGTTTTCGTCGCTGCCGCCGTCGTCGTCGTCGTCGTCGTCGTCGTCCCGCCCGCCCGACCCGCCCCGCCCGTTAGGGTCCGCCCGCCCGACCCGACCCGCCCGTTAGGGTTCACGCGTGTTCGCTCGTGTATGCCTCACATTTTAATGTCCCGCCCGCCCGACCCGACCCGCCTGCTAGGGTCCGCCCGCCCGACTCTACCTTCCCGCTAGGGTGCGCCCGCCCGAGCCGACCCGCTCTCTGGGGTTCACGCGTGTTCGCTCGCGTATGCCCCATGCTGATGTTGATGCTGCTGCTGCTGCTGATGATGATGATGATGATGATGATGATGATGAGGAGGAGGAGGAGGATGATGATGATGATGAGGATGATGAGGATGATGAGGATGATGAGGATGATGCTGCTGCTGTTGATGATGATCATGATGATGATGCTGATGATGCTGCTGATGATGATGCTGCTGATGATGATGATGATGATGCTGATGCTGATGATGATGCTGATGATACGGATGATGCTCATGATGATGAGTGCGCTCCGATCCAGGCCAGTCCGCTGCCCGCGGGCACGGCCCTGCTTGACTTCATGGTGGCGCTCCGCAGGCTGCACGTCGTGGCGGGCACGGAGGCGCCGACGGCGACGACGGCGACGAAGGCGGCGAGGACACCGACGGACGCCGACGCCGACGGACTGCGTACGCCGACGACGAGGACGCCGACGGACGACGACGACGACGACGACGACGACGACGCCATCGGACGCCGACGGACGCCAACGACGACGACGCCAACGGACGCCTGCGAGGCTCACGCCGAAGCCGACGGAAGGCGGACGCTGACGGCGCAGAGGCCGACTGACGACGGAGGCCGACGACTACGACGGTGGATGACGAACGCCGACGACAACGGCGACGCCGACGGACGGCGCCGCCGATGACGATGACGACGATAACAACGAAGAGGACCACGACGACAACGACGCCGACGCACGACGACGCCGACGGACGCCGACGCTGACGATCCGCGGCGGAGATTCCGCCTGCGGAAGAGTGTGTCTCAGGAGGGGAATAAACACACACACAATGAATCGTCAACTCCCAGGAAAATATGGGAAACTATGGGCAGTGGGGGGAAGACATAATCCCAGAAAGTATGGGAAAACGTGGGGAAGATTTTTATTTGTGTGTATCTATTTGTGTGTCCCAGGGCCCCTTCAGTGTCCTGGAACTCCAGGACAGCCGTTCCCCAGGCTGTGGACATGTAAAGTCCACCAGCCTGGAACACACCCCTATCCCTATGATTGGCATCGCCTCATCCCGATGCCGATCTTTGGGACTCCCTCCGTTTTTATGAGGGCGCCTCCCTGAGATTGTCGTCGACTTCTGGCTTGTTAAATCTTAGGGATAGGGATGCGTTCGAGGCTGGTGAAAAGTCCCCGCCTCGCAGGCGGCGGCAACGGCGCGGCATATCCGTGCCCTGCGTCCCGGGGCGGAAGCATAGCCTGCTCCACGGGCCCTCCCGGAGCTGTCCGATGGGCGCGCCTCCGCGGAGGGTGCCGCGGTGCCGCGCCGCCTCGGGCGCAGGGGCGTGCTCGTGGGCATCGCTCTCCCCCGTCCGCTGGGCGGCGCAGTGCTGCCAGCCTTTCCATCCGGGGGTGGACAGACCGCCTACCCTGACACGTCGATTAAGGAATTGGCAGTTTTCGGTTCGCGAGAGGGCGTCGCGGCTGTCAGTTTTTGCGGGTCCAGGTCCGCCGGTTTCGGTCCCAGGCCGCTTTCACTACGGGGGGTTTTACTAAAGGGGGTTTGTCCACCGCCGATCCATCCGCGGATGAGGGATGAGAGAGAAGGCAGGAGGGACGAGGGAGGAGGTGGGCGACGGGACGGGGTGGTGGCGGGCAAGGAAGACGAGTCCCGAGCAGAGCATCACGCACAACGACCAGGACGACGGCGACGACGGCGACGACAGAAGCGAGGCGCGCGAACGATCCACACTGAAGCGCGGATCAAGCTGATCAACCTCGCAGAGTGGCGGCGGGACAGGACGGAGGACGAGGTGGGTGACGAGGAGGAGAAGGAGTGAGGATGGGGGACGGGGAGGAGGGAGGAGGAAGGATGGAGGATGGGCCGTCCAGGAGGGAGGTCAAGCCCCAATCTGGCGACCTCCTCTCGAAGAAGGGCAAGCACAGAAGCATGCATCTCGGAGGCCCCCGGCGAATTCGGCGCTGGAGCCCCCTCCCCGGCACGCGGGGCGCGCCAGGGGCGGCGCCAGAGGCGCCGCCGGGGGAGCCCGGATCCGAGGCAAGAAGTCCGCCCAGGCCTCCGAAGGCTTGTGCTGATGCTGTGCTTCTCTTCCTCCATCCCCGCCGCTCCGGGGAGGGCAGAGAGGGGGCGAGAGGGGGGGGGAGGGGGGAGGGAGGGGAGGGGCTGGAAGGGCGAGGGAGGGAGGGAGGGAGGGAGGAGTGGTCCTGATATCCTATACGTTGCAACAAAAAAGGCTGCAGCGCCAGGAGATCCCAGGGAGGGGCGGCGGCGGGTGGAGCAGAGGGGACGGAGGGGTGAGGATCTGGACCTTCCAGATGGGGCTCGAGTGGATGGGGTCGGAGGATCGCGCCGTATCTGCGGGACGGGAAAATGACCACAGCCACTGCTTCTTGTTTGCGCCGCCTTCCAGCCGGCCGATACAGAAGCAGTGGTTGTGGTCATTTCCCTGGTGCCAAGCTTAACGAAAATGACCACAACCACTGCTTTGTTTCTGCTGGCTGGAAGGCGGCAACAAAAGAAAAGCAGTGGCTGTGGTCGTTTTCACGTCCCGTAGTATCGTCGATGCATCGACGATGCGGCTCGATGTGGAGCCCGATGCCGTCCACGCCGACGTCGCCGATGCATCGCCGACTTCGCCAATGCATCGGCGATGCATCGGCGATGCATCGGCGATGCGGCGCGATCCTTCGACCCCATCTACTCGGACCCCATCTAGAAGGCCTCTGAGGCTAGAAAGTCCAGGGTTCGCTTGGGACTGGGCTCCTTCCAAGACAGCCGAAACCTTCCCGAAACCCTTCGAAAACCTTCCCGGAAGGGTTCCTGGACGCTTTTCGGAGGGTTTCGAGAGGGTCATGGACGGGTTTTCGTAGTTTTGGGGGGAACCCAGCCCCTGGCGACCTCTGAGCTTTCGCACTCCCAAGGGAGGGCCACGGCGACGACCCGCGGCGGGGCGGCGGCGAGCGCCGAGGCGTACCACGGCATGCTCGCGGACCTGGACCGGCGCCTGGGCGGCCAGTCGCAGCCCGCCGAAGAGGCGGCGCAAGCCCAGGAACAGGCGCCGCGCCGTGCACGTTTTTTTTGTTTGTTGTTGTTGTTGTTGCTGTTGTGGTTGTTGTTGTTGTTGTAGTTGTTGTTGTTGTTGTTGCTGCTGCTGCTGCTGCTGTTGTTGTTGTTGTTGTTGGTGATGGTGTTGCTGCTGCTGCTGTTGTTGTTGCTGTTGTTGTTGCTGCTGTTGTTGTTGTTGCTGTTGTTGTTGTTGTTGTTGTTGTTGTTGTTGTTGTTGCTGCTGCTGTTGTTGTTGCTGTTGTTGTTGTTGCTGTTGTTGTTGCTGCTGCTGCTGTTGTTGTTGCTGTTGTTGTTGTTGTTGCTGTTGTTGTTGTTGCTGCTGCTGCTGCTGTTGCCGTTGTTGTTGCTGTTGTAGTTGTTGTTCTTGTTGCTGCTGCTGCTGTTGTTGTTGTTGCTGTTGTTGTTGTCGTTGTTGTTGCTGCTGCTGCTGCTGCTGCTGCTGCTGCTGCTGTTGTTGTTGTTGTTGTTGTTGTTGTTGTTGCTGCTGCTGCTGCTGCTGCTGCTCCTGTTGTTGTTGTTGTTGTTGTTGTTGTTGTTGCTGCTGCTGCTGCTGTTGTTGTTGTTGTTGCTGCTGCTGCTGTTGTTGTTTTTGTTGCTGTTGTTGTTGTTGCTGTTGTTGTTGTTGCTGCTGCTGCTGTTGTTGCTGTTGTTGTTGTTGTCGCTGCTGCTGCTGTTGCTGTTGTTGTTGTTGTTGTTGCTGCTGTTGTTGTTGTTGTTGTTGTTGTTGTTGTTGTTGTTGTTGTTGTTGTTGCTGCTGCTGCTGCTGTTGTTGTTGTTGTTGTTGCTGTTGTTGTTGTTGTGT